TTAATAATGTATCAACCTTTCAAAGCTTAATTTTGCCAAAAGCTCTCATTTAAACACGTTTAGTGAAACACTTTTTGGATCCTGTTATAGAAACTAAAGAACATTTATCGCAGGAAAGTTCAGAGAACAAGTCTCCAAATCATAACATTTATGTGTCTGAGGAGCCTGATGAAATTAAGCCCACTAAAAGTCAGTATATAAAGCAAGGATTAATGAAACAATTGCGAAGTAATAGAGACATTGTCTTACCAGTTTCCTTAGAGATTATGGAGCATCAATTATCTCAAGTTACAACGCAGAGATTAGTCTGTTTATTCCAAAATGCAATATGGAGAAATCTTATCTTGGTACTATTACTCTGATAGTTTTGAGAATAAAGCTATTGAAATTTGCTGTGAGATTGAAGTTACAGATAAAACTGCTAGAACACAATTATACAAAGAAATGTTAAGCCATCTACCTGGTATTACATTAGGAAACTTGTGTATGAAAACTTTAAAAGCCAAGAAAATTCGGATGTTATTTGGAAAAGATAGAGTTGGAATAGAAAAAATTAAACAAGTTACCTACAGTATATATGCCATTTCAAGCCTTACTAATAGTCAAATTCAAAACATTATCAAGAATGTAATAGTAGAATCATTATTGGAAACTATCATGAATTATAATCATATGATTTTAAAAACCGTCATGAAAGATGATGACTAGACTAAAGCGAAGGTAAGTGTTTCATCTAATAATATATTGCCAGAAAATAAGATTTCATCTATAGATCATGCAAGTGTATCATCTATACCACCTGCTTTCAAAACCCATTACTGAGAAAGCCTTGCCCGAGAAACAGACCCATAACCATGCTTACTTTCGTAATAAGACACTGTTGTAATATTCTGATCTATATAAAGCATTTATTACTAAAAAATTTGATTACTATGATATTATTGAGGGGTCATTATGTCCAGTATGTAAATTATATCACAAAGATGGGAAAAGTGTAAAAGGTAAATATGAAGCTGGTTCTTATTTTATTATATATAGAAAGTGCAAAATTGAGATAACGGCATATAAATTATAAAATTATCCAGATATAGCCACTATGTAACAAGTATTCTTGTTTCAAATGTTTGTAAATTAGTTAGATCCGAAGGGTCATTGCTTTGCAATTCTATATTTGTTTTTTTTTATAATTGTTATATACAGTGTCAGCACAACTCATAATTTGAATTTGCGATCATAACATAAATAAAGCCTATTTTGAAGAAAGTGCCAAATATTTGAACTGGCATGCTAAATTAGTTGATTCACCGAGTCATTTGTCAGATAAAATCCGTTTGAACTTATATAGAGCATATACAGAGGAGACTGGGCTTGATTCTTGGATAAACTCTAAAACTCCTGAACCTCCACAAATCGAAAAGGATGCCGAAAAAAAGACATTATTTGTACTACAGATAAATGTTTAGCTTACACCATCCAAACTTCAATCACCAATTTCTATTCTATCTAAAGACCTGAAAAAGAAACAAAAACATGTTATTAAAATAGTATTAGAGCGATTTCCTTATTTAACTTTGAAACATAATTTTAAATATAGTAATTATTTTGATTTTAATAGATCTGTACTCTGTTTTATATGCAATAAAGATTATAAAAAAGAAAATATAAGAAATAATATAGAGGGTTTATAGGGGAGTGGCGATTATGTCAATACAAAAATATATCGTCTTACATGTTGGAAAAATAAATATCAAAATTCAATCCAAATAGTGACTGTAAAAGCATAGGTTAATAAAAGTAACTAAACATCATAGAACGATCAGGTAAACATCAAAAATATATTTCAAAATAATGGCACATTATGCTCGGATCTTTTATTTTAAAAATAAAAAATAAGTTGCCGAAATGGTATACAAATAAAAAAAATACATCGCACTTGTATAATGCGAATACAAATAAAAAAATATTTGTTCCATTACTATGGATTTATAATAAAGACTGCCCTTTCAAATTCTTTAGAGGTAAAATTTTTAGAAAACCTCTTTCCTGATAGGGATATTTAACTGATTCTCAATTTTACTTTTAACTATTTCGAATATATCACCCCATTTAATATTTATTGTACATGTACCTATTGGACTGAGTGCAACTTTAAACTTGGGTTCAAAATTATCAGGAACTTTAGTGGCCATTTTTCTGAATATAAATTTTAATAAGTTTTGTTTTTATAATCTTTGTTTAAATGATATAATCTCATATGAAATATTATCTTAAAACCAAATTGCAGGTATATTAAACTTTTTTCAAAAAAATATGAGCAAAAAATAACATTATTGCTAACTTATCTTATAAGTGGAAACCTGCTTATTTTATACTATTCATTTGCTAGTTCTATAAAGCCTGCCAGAAAAAAAGTTACATGATTATTAATCACATTACTCTAGCACTACCAGATCACACTTAACAAAGCAACTCCACTCGGTTATAAGTTACAATACTGAATTTATTTTGTTATTTTTTTGGTAAAATTATCCTCTTATAATCAATGATTGCTTAAGGAGGTTTAGGTTTAACAATCTCAAAGATGGCAGAGATTTCAAGTTCCTGCAACATATGAATTTGGACCAAACTACTGATTAAGAACATTATACGTATTACCCTTATAACCTTTTTAGGATGCAAAGCATCTCCTGCTTCGCAGAGTCCCATTCTTATCACAGGATCCTATAAAATAAGGAAAGGTCCTAGTTATTGTAAAATTGGTTAATGTCAACTAAAATCAATGTTGAGAAAGTAATTATGCATTAAGGTAACACCATATAAAATTTAGCATGAGCAAGCCTTCAGCTAATGCCAGCTATTGATTATTAAAGCTAATCAAGGTTTTATCACTATCGTTATTATCATACACGCATCATTTTTTTACAGTGATTTTTTTTGATTTATTTCGATCATGATTATGAAGCTTCTATTTTCGGGCTAGTAGTAAGCAAATTCGAAAAATATTTATGGCTTATTTGTTATCAGTTACATGACATGTCACATCTAAAATTTTGTCATATGATTTTTATAAATTACACAAATCGACAAAATTATATTTTTAAAATTTCACCTAAAAGCTTAGTCAAAGTATGCTACACTCCCTAAAACAAAATTATTGCCAAAGTTTTATGAAATAAACAGTATCAAAAACATAAGAAACGAACTTCTCTTTGTAAAATAACATACTCTTGAATATAAGCCATTATTTTGTCTACTTTTGCTGCATTCTTTTCAGGTTTGCAAATTTGCAGTTCAAAAAGTGTTTCACTAAACGTGTTTAAATGAGAGCTTTTGGCAAAATTAAGCTTTGAAAGGTTGATACATTATTAA